AAAAAAGATAGTCGTTCCAAATCCCAACACTCTTCCAAAAACAAATCCGCGTCGCAAATGAACGATGAAAGACCTATAAGTGCATCAAAACCTTACAAATCCGGAGCAAAATAAACATTCTACATATTGTTTTCGATTTTTATTTTTTTAAGTTTTCCTTCCCCGAACTGATCAAACTACTATTGATTTTCTATCATTATATTATAAGAGTGAGAATATGAGTGAAATCAAATACCTACACCCATACTTATCCTGTTGAAATATTTCTCTGAAAAGCCACTATTGACTGTATGTTTGTAGCTGAAAAGTTAGACATGCACTAAAATTTACACAATTCGGGAAGGTATATTTTTGCATCGAATAATTATTAAAAACAAAAAAATGTATAGAACCTAGGATATACAATGTGCTTTTTTCTTATAAAATTTGCATTGGCAAGGGTGTGGGTGTTAGTATGAATACTCTATCCACCCACACCCACACCCTTTTTTTGAACGACCATATATATCAACGAATTCATCAGCGACAGCAGCAAAAATAAATGAGTAAATAACTGCTATAAAATACATGGAATTTTTTCGAAATTCAATAGTTATTATATTCGGTGATATCTTTTATCATTATCAAAAAATAAAAAATTCAACAGCTAGACAAAGAAACTACTATGAGAGATAACTGCTATAATAATCATTTTATTTAAAACAGAAAAAAAAGAAGTTATTCGAGCTTTCGTACACCTTTCACGTATACATCATCAGGAAACTATACTACGTGTAGAAAACTATATTGTTACTGATCCATATACCATTCTATATGTTCTTGATGAATAATGTTTATTAAACAAATAGATCATATGATAGGCATTAAGTTATAGATCAAGCAACATCTCAGAAATTCTACATCGCATTTCGCTTTCTGTAGTTTTTCAGTTAATCTTTCACAACATCGTATACTTACTAGAATCAATTTGCTATATTGTAAGCGAAGATTAGAAATATATAACAACAAAACACATACCCGCATCCTCAAATTGAACATATATTTCTATTAGGAAAAAACATTCTTATGAGATCGAGCCATATTGTGATTGACTGATACTTTGATTTTGATAGGGATCCATATTGTCACTATTCAATAATTGTTCATTCTCTTTTTCACATTCTTTTCTCTCATCTTCATTACGTCTTCGATACGTAATTCGAGCTAAAAGACTCATAATAATAGAAGTACCCAATGCAATCAACACGAGTAGATTGATCAATTTTGCTCGATTTGGAGCAATAAACAGAAGAATGAGTGCAGTAATATTCAGCCATTGGAGAAGAATTGAGGCTGATAGAGACTCAGGTAAAGGAAACATTATTTCGGCCATTGCCTCATAGATTAATGGTAAAGCAGCACCTTGAAAAAAACCCGCAAAAGCAACTGATAAGCCAATTATGAGAGATGTAGAATGCAAAAGAGGTTTGTCGTAGAAGACCGTATGAACAGAAAGCTCAAAGAAGAACACGGCAAGGAAACAGCAAATAAATGCCAAGACAATAAGTATCTTGAGTCGTCGTTGAAAGTAGCGAGTATCGGCCAAGGCACCAAAACAAAGACCACCAACAATGCATGATATCAATGTTCCAAAAGCGAACCAGCCTGAAATGAAATATTCACTATTATTATTGTTTAGTGAGACTCTACTCACCTGATTGTTTTTCTGAATAATTCTCTGGTTTGAGAATAGTATCGAAGAGACCTGTCCATGTACCGAATGTACCGGCAATTATACCACCAGCAGTTGAAAGAAGAACCATGGATGGCGTAGTCATACATCGCCCGACATTCTTCATAGATGTTCGCCAGGAACTGTCATTTGGTCGATCAGTTCCATAAGACATGAGCAGTTCGGCTGCACCTGATGGAGCAGTAGGTGGTTGTGCCGGAAAATAAATCAAAACAAGAACACATGCTACAAATGTGAGACCCAAATGAATATAGAGAAGTCGAGGAATATGTTCGGGTAATGAAACAATCGCTGAACTGGTCAAGAAAGCAATAGCTCCACCGAGTTTATGCGTAAATATGGCTATTGTTGTGGCTCGAGTGCGCTGATTCGAGCCAAACCAAAGACAGGATAATTGTGAAACAGGTGTCGTAGCCAAGGGACCACATGCAGCGTTAAGAATCTGACCAGCATGCATGAATATCATAGAAATAGTTGAGAAATGAGGACTCGACGGAGAAGTAAGAACTGATGGAATGACACGGAGAAGTGCCGCTATGAAGTCACCGATTGCCAGTAGAATAATACAGCGTCGAAGTCCATGATCTTTGTTGAGCAAGATATAAGTGAGAGGTAAACAAGGAATGAAAATAATTGGACCCCAATTGAGAAGAAGATCAACAGTGGCTTCACTGATCTTGTAATAAGTTTCTGTACTTCTTGCTATTGGAGAAAAAGTTAGCCATATAAGATTTTGATTAAACGAAAGTAGGCAAAAGACAGTAAGAACATAGAATCGTTGTGGATATACTCTATATGGTAGTGAAACGATGGATGGTGCGAGAAGAACAGTGTCTTTAGACATTGTGCTTGTCAAATGCGACAATAATTTTTGATAAAAGTGCAAAACTATCAACTAAATATGTTTATTAACATGTTTCGACAGCAAAGACAAAGGTGAGAAGAGATAAGAAAATAACATCGTGAGAGAAGAATAAAGAGATAGAAAGTAAAGTCGATTTAGTATCAATGTAATTTTAAAATTGTTATGTTGTCGAATTTCAAAAGTTAATCTGATCAATAATACTTAAGGAATATCATTTTATAAATTAATGACAGAACGCGTTGATTTATATTTTATTTCATATTAAAATGAATAAATGCTTTTACAATTCTGTTTATACGAGATAAAGAAAGAAAAAAAGAAAAGAGCAAATATTTCTTCTTATACGTCACTTAAAAAATCATTTTACTTTATTCTATTATACTGATAAACATATATACATATATTTATAGAAGAACGAATAATGCATGTAAAAGAATTAATTATATATCCAATCAAATCATGTAGTGGTATTAAAGTACAAGAAGCACTTGTAACAAAATATGGTTTAGCTCTTCCATCAAATCCTCGAATATTTGATAGACGATGGATGATAGTCAAAAATGGTCGACATCTAGCACAACGAGTTTTACCTCGTATGGCATTGATTCAAATTTCTCTTATCGATGATAATCTTTGTGTTCGAGCTCCAAATATGTCTGATCTTCATATTCCAATTAATTCATTACCAGAAGAAGTGATGCAATGTTTGTAAGTATATTTGAACTTGTTTTTGAAGAAAAATATTTGAAATAATCAATTTATAGTTGTTGGGATCAACCAATTCTTGGTTTACGATATGATAATAATGTTTCACATTGGTTTCGAACATTTTTAGAAATAGATGATAAAATTGATTTAGTTGTATTTGATGATAAAAACTTTCAAGGTCGTTTAGTTAAAGATTGTGAAGCACCTAATGTTGCTCGTGATGAAGATACAATTATTTATCATGATATGAGTCCAATACACCTATGTTCGTTAGAATCAGTTGCTGATCTTAATACACGATTAAAGAAACATATTCAAGTACAAAATTTTCGACCAAATATTGTTATAGAAAATGTTGATAAACCTTATGCTGAAGTAAAAAATTCTATACTGTATAAAATGAAAAAAATATTAATTCTTAATTTTTATAGGATTATTGGCGAGAGATTGAAATTGGTCAAATCAAATTTACCTGGATTGCAGCTTGTATAAGGTTAGTTTTATCGGAATATTCTTTTTAATTAATACATTTAATTTTATTTTCAAAGATGTTTATTACCAACTATAGATCCTCAAACAGGTATTAAAGATCCTGATCTTGAACCATGGAAAACATTACGAAGGTGAGAGTTCATTTTATTCTAATAGATTATTATTATTATTAATAAATATATTTTCATTAAGTTATCGTCTTAAACCAGACATATATCGTGATAAAGCGTTATTTGGAATTGATTTGGCACCGACAGACACGATAAAAAATGTATTAGGGATTATTCGTGTTGGTGATTCAATTCGAATTAATAAAGATGAACCTGATTTTTGGGACAAAAAATAATTTGATTAATAATTAAAAATAAAGATAGAGAGAAGAGAACAAAGTATATGTCGTTTTATTCAATCCAAACGTTTTGAAACTTGATCCTAGAGACTCATCTATACTCTGCATGGCTCGAAAGTCCAATACAACGATTAGAATGAAACTCTGATATCAATCATTCAAGATTAAAACTAAAGCCTTTTTAATTAAGTTTTTTTGAAAATATATATAACAAGCGTGTGAAGCATTTGATAAGAAAAAAAGGCTTTCTAATCTCTAACATTGAAATATGCTTCGAATCATTATTTTAGTTTTGTCTCTTGCTATTGCAAATTTTGTTGCTGGAGACAATTTTGAATCCGACGAACTCAAGTGTGAACCAAACTATGGTACGAATGGCCCCGAATTTCCATGTAGTGTTAGTTTATCTACAAATTACAGATGCAACAATACCTTCCTTAATATTGTTGACACACCATTCTACAATTGTTCAAATGTAAATATTTTTTGGGATGCTCCAAGAAATAATTTGACACTCACAATTGAAGCAGCAAATTATACAGATTTTAAACGACCGTTTGCAGTCTTATTGAGTAGTAGATTGGGTTTGGTACCAGTCTACAGAGTTTATTCAAATGGAGAAGAAGTTTTGATACCAAAAACAGAGGAAAAACAAAGTGTATGCACATCTGATGAAAATTATCAAGTTATACTAAAATTTAAAGGACCACCACGATTTCAACTTTATGGAACGTTCATCGAATATCAAGTCGCACCAATTGATACAAGTGCTTCATAATTTTTTCCGTTTTGAAGGAATGATGAAATAAAATAATAAGCTGATGATATTCTCTGTTTTTCTGTTGACATTATCATAAGATGAAGATTAGCCATTGTGACCAGGTGAATTTAGAGAGAGTTTATTAGCAATAAAATAATGAACTTAATGATTAAATATATTCTATACAATAAAATAAAATGTTTCGTATGATTGATGTCGTATGTTATATATACAATGGATCCTACAATTCAATAGAATTATTATTCATAGTTCTGCATCGGTATAGAAATGAGTGCCATGTGTATTGGCAGACTTTGCCAGATCAGCATCAAGTCAGATTAACTGTTAAAGTCCTAGGTTGAGAACTTATTTTAACTATTAAATGAAAACATGAAAAAGGTCTCACAGTAAATATAAAACGGCGATAACGATTTCATCTGTCCTTATTCAATTGTTTCGTGATTTATTTTGGAGAAATAGAAGCGAGAATTATGAACAATTTGAGTTTCTATAAAAAGCATTGAAGAGGGATTCACCAACTGCAACACTAGGATGTGAGTATATGTATAATAATCATTTTGAAACTAATTGATAGAACAGCTTGCATTCATTTTCTTATTCACTTTTGATAGGATAACAGTTGAGAATTCATATAGCAATATCGATAATATGAAATTTGTTATCTTTTACTCATAAAACTGATAAAATACCGTACCTTACGTTCGCTATTTTATCTTCGACCAAAGTTTTATGTACTTGAGTATCTTGTCGAAATAACAAACCTTGCTAATACTAATTTTGAAAAATGAAGTGTAAAATTGATCTCTATATTATATGTACGTCAAGTATATTTTGATGTCATGCAATAAATCCTAAAATTCTTATAAAAAATTACGTTTCGAAAACTTTTATAGAGAAAGGTTTATACGGAAAATGTTCTCACATTATGAAACGATAAATATTATCTAATGATAAAGTAAAAAGAAGCTTCATTATCTGTTTAATTTATTGAGTACGTCTTTTATCCACCTTAAAAAAATTCGTACTGTTCTAAGTATCACGATCTTTAGTACACTTTTTATCTTTAACAAACTAACATTGTGATTCATAACTTCAGTTTTTCTGCATATAAAAAGCTGATTGTTTTTCGAAAGAATCTAATCAAAATCTAAATATGGTTTCAAGTAAAGTGATTCATTGGTTAACAGCTGTTGTATCAATATTACTTAGTGGATTATTTTATTTATTTAGTCGAATGAAATGTCTTCATCCACATTGTGTTGAAACATATGCAAAAGACAGCATAACAATGCTTTATACTTTCTATTTAATCTTTATTTTTATTACAACTCTTCTTTGTAAATTAATTCCACGACTACCATTTAAAATTAGATATTGGTTAGAAAAAGATCTTCCAACATCATTATGTCTCGGTTGGTTTCAAGGATCCTTACTTGAACTTTTAACTTTATTTGCAGTTTTGGGATTGATCACAGTTAATTTTATTTTCTATTGGAATTTAATGTTATCTGTATCCAATGACCTATTGGCAGAAAAAGATTATTGGAATGCAGCACTGATGGGAAGTGGACATATGGGTGATGTTTTATTAGGTTTGTTATTAATTCCATTAGGTCGCCATTCATTTTTACCGTCTTTACTCAATATACATTTTGATAGTGCACTTCGTTTTCATAAACGTTGTGGAACACTTTTTTGTTTAATTAGTATTTTACATGGATTTGTTATATGGACGAAAGTAACAAGATTTTTAAATCCACCTTCGTATTTCTATTGGACATTTAATATCGGTGTTCAAGGTCAAAAATGGATATTTTATGTTTCAAATGCTGGATTTATGACAACGTTTGGGTTTATCGCAGGTATTGCATTATCTATTATATGGATATTCAGTTTTTCCATTATTCGACGACGTTTATATAATCTTTTCTATATAATTCATATTCTTTTTGGACCATTGATGATTATAAGTGCAAGTTTTCATACAAGTAGTATTTGGTATTATTGTATGCCTGGTGCTTTTCTTCTTTCGATTGATTGGATAATTCGATTATATAATTATAGAAAGCAAAGAAAAGGTTTAATAAGACGAGAAGAATGTGGATATCTTCGAATTGATATCTTCGATAAAATCGATTTTAATCTTGCAAGTTTTATTATGATTAAAATCGAAGAACTTGGATATCAAATAAGTCATCCATTTACAATTGCCAATGATGCGAATGAAGATTATTTAGTTTTATTAATAAAACCTTCATTATTAACATCAAAATGGACAAATCAATTAGCAAAACTTCTTCCATCTGACTGTTTATCAAAAGAAATAACAGTACGAATTGATGGATCGTTTGGATTTTTGAAATTTCAGATATCAAAAATGAATCTAGTTGCTTGTTTTGTTGGAGGAATTGGTATTTCAGGTGCATTAGCAATTGCATCACATATATTAAAACGTGATAGTGGACCTAGTTTGGTTTTTATATTTTGGGCTGCACGAGAAGCAAATGCTGAAAAGTTAAGTGTACTTCAACAATTAATGAATCGACAGGATTCTCGATTACATATTTATCTATTTGGTCACGCAGCGAACTTTTCATTTGATCATAAAATAAAAAATAAAGACGAAATATTAACGATGGAAGAAGAGAGAAATATATCTGAAACGTTAAGATATGATATACAAACAAATGGAATCAAAGGAAGTTTAGAAAGAATGATTCCAGATGATTTATTACAACAAATTGTATTACCATGTGTAACAACATCAGAAAAAATTGGAATTTATACGTGTGGACCGAAATCATTGATGGATTCTGTACAGAAAGCATGTGAAAATGCTCGTAAAAGAGCAAATATCTATTTGCATCGTGAATCCTTTGAATGGTAATTGAAAATAATTATTTTTGTTCTTCTTCTTAAACTTTTGTTAATCATTAAAATATTTTTGATTTTAATATAATCAATTGATAAAGTTCATATTGGAAATGAACTACAAAATAATTCAAAATTTCTATATAATATTGTCAAGTATTCAGTTCAGTTCTATCCATCTTGAAGGTAGGTGAGGATGTAGAATGGCGTAATACCCACACACACACGCGCTCAAAATGGTTTTCTTAGTCAAAACTGACCGAATCGAAATAAAAAATATAGTTTCATGAACAGTTTTTCATGCTCTATCAATTACCCATCACTTATCAGTAACAGTGGTGAGAATGTGACATCTCTAATTGAACACAGGTCACAAATAGATTATTATGGCAAAATGAACGAGAACGTCCTTGATTAAACAAGGATGAAATCGTGATTGCAATATGCTTCTTTAACTCACCATTACTCTCAAAGCGTTTATATTTGTCTTTCAATCTGTCTCTTATTGTGACAAACATCTATTTTTAATTTAACTTATCTCAGTCGTTAAAGCATCTTTATTTAAAGACAAAACTACTTTTGTTCTTGTTGGTAATATATATTTTTCGAATTGGATAATATTAAATAAATTTTGAAAGAAAAGACTAGAATAGAATTAATCAAAAACTAATATTGATATCAGGCATTTAGTTGTCTTCGTTGCACAAAAGGAAAACAAACTTCGTCTTTTTTTTCCTTTCTGTCTCTTGTTGATAAGCATAGTGGACATAAGAGTTACCTGAATGGATAACGATAAATATAAATGTATCTGTTTATTTGTTCTTTTATAAAAAAAATGAATTTTTGCATTGTTATTTTGGTGCTCTTTGCAGTAAGAACTGATGGACGATTATCGAGTTACCAAAGATATCGAATATCGTCATTGACGGGCGAACGAATTGCTTTACCGAGTAAGTACTTATCATAATCAATTTTTTAATTACCAATTCTAAAAATTTAGTGCCCGATCAACTAGAATGGCAAGCACAAGAGTTAGGTGTTTTGATTCATTTTAATTTGGCAACTTATATCGAGAATCATGATGCATGTCCACAAGGTTTAGTTCCACCTACTTCTCAATTTAATCCGTATCTGTTGTCTACAGACAACTGGGTTCAAACGATGATGGATTTTGGCGCCAAATACGCAGTGCTTGTTGCTAAGGTAGAAACGGTTTCTCTTTAATGATAAATATTTTCTTCTGTTGATCATAGCATAATTGTGGATTTCTTCTATCTCCAACAAACGTCACATTTCCATTAAATCCATCGAGTAAAATCGTACCATATAATTATACAGTTGATTATTCACCTGTGAAAGGTGTAAATATTCTTGATGAGTTTATTAAGAGTTGTAATAAGCAGAAAATACGAACTGGCTTTTACTATTCAACAGTGACAAACAATTATCTCAATGTTCGACAAGGCTATGTAAGTTATTTTGTTTTTTGAATAAATTCTTATAGATATTTGTCATTTATAAGGTTCAAAATGATACGTTGAAGGAAGGTCAACTAAATATCACCCAGCAAACTTATAGTAATATTGTGTTGTCTCACTTGAGAGAATTATGGACGAATTATGGAAATCTCGAAGAGATTTGGTTTGATGGAGGGTTAAAACTAATTAAGAAAAAATTTATCGTATAATCTGTTATTATCATTTAGTTTAGCACCGGGAATGCAAGATGCGATCGCAAAAATGCTTGTCGAGCTTCAACCACATGCAAATGTTTTTGGTGGAATTGGCATAACGACAAATTCTATTCGATGGATTGGTAATGAACACGGTCATGCACCTGATCCAACTTGGTCAACTGGAACCAGCGCTGATGGAGGTGATCCTGATAGTCCAATCTTTTGTCCAGCTGAATGTGATACAACTCTACAAATGTTCGATCGATGGTTTTGGGTAGGAAAAGAAATTGATGTGATAAATAATTGATTATTTTCCATTCGTAGGGTCGTCACGTTTTACTTCGTTCTCTTCAAGATTTGATCGATGTTTATCACCGAACCGTGGGTCGAAATTGTTTACTGATGCTTGATTTAACACCTGATCGATCAGGTATTATTCCACCTGTATATGCTAATCGTTACAAAGAATTTGACGATTTTATTCGTTCCTGTTATGATACTTCTGTTAGGCCAAGTTTTCAAAACTCTTCTGCTGATTTTTTGACGTACACGCTGGTGTTCAATGCACCTGCAAGTGTTGATCGTTCGGTTATTCAAGAAGATCAAACTCGTGGACAAGTAATTCGTGCCTATACTGTCACTGCACTATTAGCCATCTCAAAAGATCAGAATGAATGGATTGCAGTAGCTACGGGTACCAGTATTGGAAATAAGAAAATTGATCTATGGGCAAAAGGAACACTGTTAGTACTGGCAGTCAAATTAAATATTACTAAAACTATTGACGTACCTGTATTGAAATCATTCACCGTTCATTTATGTGCTTGAAATCAATTTTCTTTCAC